AGATGCCTTTTGGAAGGGGATGAAAGAGTGTGGAAAATATAGGTGCAGTAAGTGGTTGCTAGTGGGGATGTGTAGATGTATGAAAACAGATTGATTTGTAGGTTAACCTGAGAGATAGCTATTGTGCTTTAAATGATCCTGGGGCCAGGTCTATTAACATGTCAGCATCCCCTTTTGATTCCCAATCAGGTTACTCAGGTTTCATGTAGATAGAGGAAAGGCCTTTCCCAATGTTTTCTGATCATGATGGCTTTTAATTCAAAATATTCTTTATACCACGGAATCATATTTTGGGGTGAAATTTCCTTAGTTTCTTTAATACTGTTCCTACTTCTGGGGTCTTTTTCTGAGACTTCACCTGAATTGCCCATAAGGCTCTGCATTTTCTAGCCTGCTCTCCAAATTCTTCCAGTCTTTACCCATTACCCAGTTCCAAAGCTGCATTCACATTTTCAGGTATTTGTAATAGTAACAACCCCATTTCTCAGAACCAATTTTCTGTCTTAATCTGTTTTCTGTTCTTAGGTTACTACAAACTACAAAGAAGTTTATTGGACTCTTGGTTCTGGTGTCTGGAAAGGTCAGGATCGTGCTGCCAACATTTGGCCAAGGTCATTCCATGGTGGGAGGGTAGAAAGCAGAAGCAAGCCTGAGAGATAGAGACAGGAAATCAGGCCAAATTTGCTTTAAAATAACAACCCACTCTTGAGATAAGTAACCCCCTCCTGCGATAATGACATTTATCAATTCATAAAGTCTCCCCTCTCATGACCCAATCAGCTCTCATTAAGCCCCCCTTTCCAACATTGTTGCTTTGGGGATTTAGTTTCCAACACATGAACTTTTGGGGGACACATTCAAACTATAACATGTTACTCACTTTAGTCCTGACAACCTTTAGTTTTCTTCTAGTTAAAAAATTTTGTGATTGTTCTTTTGTACTGTGTTTAAGTGTGCAGTAACAGCTCTTAAAAACGAGGTTAGGAAGAATGTAATGTCCAGACTTTTTCAAGTTCCACAGTCATCTTTTCACAGAGCTATTGCTATTATAGAATTAATGCTGAGGAGAGATGGTTTGAGTCACACCAAATAAATCTTTATTCTTTTCTGCTTTGAGATCTCGGTTTTATGTTCATTCATTACAAAATCCCTCTGGCTCTCTGGAAACTAAATATAAATAAATCTCAGGTTTTTTTTTTTTTTTTTTCTATCAGGCTTTTAGTCTACCATGGCACTTGTAATCAGTCATTAATAACTGAGACACAATGAAAAGAATTTGATAGTATGTGTGGTAAAATAATTAATATGAATTATAATTCAAGTCTTTCCTAAAATGAGAAAGTAAGGCTCACACAAGTTTTAATTCAGTAACTAGAGCTTGCTTTAGTCACATCAATGAAAAAATTCCTCTAAAAGTAAATTTAAAGTAAGGAGAAATGTATTTTGAGTAATTTCTCTTGCGTCAAGATAGTGCAGTATTTTCTAGGATAAATAAATCAGGTGCATGTTAGTATTTTAATATCAATTTTTTGATTTTCTTATTTGCTTTTTAAAGATTGGATTTAAACTCTTGATATAAAGCAGACTTTTAATTTCCCGTTTTTCAAAGATAATATTAAAAGATCTCTTTCTAGCCTTTAAAGTTTTAAGAAGTGACTTATTGTACTACCACTGTCTTACAGGCTTCAAAATCAAATTTCCGGTCAGTATTGTGCATTTTGATTTGGCAAATGTGTATCTTTTTTTGTGCGTGTATTGGAACTTATTATTAAGAACTTTTTATTGCTGCCTCCCATGTTTAGTTAGTTGATCTTCAGAACACTCCATTACACAGATAAAAAGAACATTGTATGCTTAATGAAATATATTGAGTATTTGAGTCAATTGAAAAAAAAATCTCTGACCAAGGTTCATAAAAGATTTGGAAAGTTTCTCATGCTACTGATTTCAGATTTGTCTTTAAATTTTATTTACTTATTTTTACCATTTCCTCATTAGTAAAGATGCCTACATTCAAAGAGAGGAACATTCTGAAGCCTGCAGCCTTATACCCCAGAAATATAGCATGCAACCTAAAGACAGATATGCCAAGGCAGGGTCATCAGTGAATAGAGGTTGTGTCAGACATTTCTTTTCCTCTGTAATGATCAAAAGTTATGGAAACTTCTGTGCCCAGAAGCATTTGAGAGAACCCCAAGGCTTAAGGGTGGCTGAAAGACTCTGACAAAGCCCTGAATGCCAGGGCTCCACCCTCTGGATTGTGGTCTGGCTCCAGTGGGCCCAGTGGATCTAGACTGGCTTGGTTTCAGCCCTGGTTCAAAGTACCCCTGGAAAACCTACTCAGTCCAGACTCTTTTGAGGCACAACAAAGAACAAAATAAAATCTAGGCTTGCCTTGGGCTAGTTTGAAAATGTCAGATTAACTCAGAAGTGACCTTCATTCAACTGGGAGGTGCCTGTGGCTCAAAGGAGTAGAGTGTATGCTCCATATACTGAAGGTGGCAGTTTTAAAACCAGCTTGGGCCAAAAAAAAAAAAAAAAAGAAAAAGAAATTTACTGATCACCTATTATGTGTTTCATGACCATCTAACTACAGATTTCCCCCAAAGGAACTTTGTGTTTACTGCATTCATTTCCCCTAGAGATTACCCATGGCAAGACAAAAAGATCAGAAAACTCAAAAAGCAATTAAGGCTCCACTCCACTCTCTCCTGACAAAGCTAAACTTACATTTCTCCAAAAGAGGATCATTTTATCATGTATTCTATTGTTTAAAAATCTCTGAATATTGCTGTTTTTTTAACCTATAATTCTTTTTGTTGCTGTTTTTAACCTTTTTCTAAACATAAATCAAAAATTTCTTACGAACTGTTTGTGTTCCAAGGCTTTGTTGAAGCAGGAATCATTTCCATGCGAGTGTGTGTGTGTGTATCATCTTTAATTTTGTCAAAGTGTTGTGTATTTTTTTAATGGTTTATGAGAACATCAATTGGGAACATCAAATGCTTTCCACTAAATGACCAGTCCCCCACCCCTAGTAGAAAATTACCGTAAGTATCAAAAGAAGTGAGTAGATGGCCCCAGGCTCATCTTAAGGAATGAAGCAGGCTTTAAAGCTCCTGGGGACATGGCACAATTTACTAACTTTATCAAAAACACCAAAACGGACTCGGCTCCCGTAGCACAGTGGTTACGGCGCCAGCCACATACACCGAGAGTGGTTGGTTCGAACCCGGCCCCGGCCAGCTAAAAAAAAAAAATGACAACTGCAATAAAAAATAGCCGGGCATTGTGGGGGGTGCCTGTAGTCTCAGCTACTTGGGAGGATGAGGTAAGAGAATCGCTTAAGCCCAGGAGTTGGAGGTTGCGGTGAGCTGTGACTTCAGCCACCGCACTCTACCGAGGATGACAGAGTGAGACTCTGTCTCAAAAAACAAAACAAAACCAAACAACGCCAAAACAAAACTTGTGTTATTTATTTGTTGATACCGGACTTCTTGTTTGAGCATTCCCGCTTGTCTCTCACATCTCCACGTATTGGTATGGCCATGCCATATGTCTGAAAATCTGTTCATGGATCCGAGGATTTTCAAACAAGAGAGGGCTCAGGAATAGTGTGTACCGTGCTTGGGACGTGCAAGAAACGTTCCAGGGTTCACGTTACCATAAAAGAACTAGTTTCTAGCGTTTTAAGTATTAAGACATTTGCTACCAGTCTTTCCCATACGTTCAACATACTTTTTGATCGCTTGTAAGTTCAAATCTCTGCAGCAAGTATTAAGAAAGCAAAGACGCATCACTCAAAAGTGAGAAGCACGTTAATTTCCTAGACCGCAAGGATTGTTCTCAGTCATGGGGCAACAAGCTCCTTTCAGAGTCAGGAAGTCCATCAAGTTGTTTGGGAGGATGCCCCCAGCTGTGTCCAGGCCTATTTTGTTTGCATCTAAAAGGAAGAGAGAGCAACTTCCCGGCGGGGAGTGTTGGTTCTGAGTGGGAAGGTTCGAAGCCCATCTGGGTGGCAAGGTTCGAAACCCAGGAGTGGGCAAAAGCTGGACCGCACGCCGCGCCGCCGGGCGACTGGTGCGGGCGGGCCCCCGGGTCTGCCGTGCCGCGGGCTTCGCGCCCGGGCGCGGGTCCGAGTCGCCAACTTCGAGCCAATCAGCGCGCGGCGTCCCGGCGCCCGCAGCGCCCGGCCCGCGCCCCTCGCGCCCCCGCGGCAGCAATGGCAGTGGCCGATCCGGGCCGAGCCCGAGCCGGGACGAGGAGGGGCTGAGCCGCGGGGGATCCTGTAATCGGCTGGGAGGTGGGGATTCTGGGAGGAAAACTCCATTTCCTCCTTCCCTGCCGGCTTTTCCTCACCCCAGCACCCCAAATTTCGATGTGCCGCCCGCGGGGCGCAGAGCGCCGGCGTTGAGGGAGGCGGCGGCCACCGCGGCCGGGAAAATGCTGGGCATGTACGTGCCGGACAGGTTCTCCCTGAAGTCCTCCCGGGTGCAGGACGGGATGGGACTCTACACCGCCCGCAAAGTGAGAAAGGTGGGTGACCCCGCGGCGGCCTGCGCGCTCCTGCCCCTGCGCCTCCCGGAGTTGCCCCGCCGCAGGCCGGGGCGCCGCGGGCTTCATCCAGGTCGCCTCACGCCTGACGGGGCCGGGCGTCCGGCAGGAAGGCCGGGGACCGCGGGGCGCGGCGGGGCGGCCTTGGCTCGCCGCGCCTCTCTGGCGGGCAGCGCCACGTAGGTGTCGGAGGGGCGCGTTCCGCGGTCGGCCGGTCCGGGGGCGGAACTGCCACTGGCCTCCCTGCGGCAAGATGTCTTTCCTCTCTCCTGCAGGAAGTGAGTTGCGATGGAGCCTCCCTCTTCCTCGGTTACCGGGGTGAGCTGCGCCTTTTAGTTGGCGAAGGCAGCAGTGGGCGGGTGTCTTCCCTGGCACGCAACGCTGCTCCGCTGCCTCCTTTTTTCCTTTAGAATGAATTAATGTGGCCAGAAATGTCTTAACTTTCCACGTGGGGATGGGGGAGAGCCACCCCCGGTGCAGCTCAACACAGGCCTTAGAATTTTCATTCAGATGCCCTCCTAGAATGTATGTGCCTTCTGGGAGGTGGCAACCAGATAATCTTTGCATCCTTTTTCTCTGTTATTTTTTTGGATTGTTCTCTGACATTGGACAGACTTCTCCTTCCAGAAAGTTAAAGGCATGTTATCAGAGCATGCACATTGCTCTGTTCATACAGGAATGGCCTGGAAATGTTGAAAGCAAAGGCCCGGAAGGAGAGGTTATAGGAACGTTCCAAATCTTTGGATTTGAGGTTAATAACACCGGAACTGTGTTATAGTTCTTTCCCAGGATATGTGAAATCTGGAGTCACGAAGGCAGTGGGGAACTGTTTAATGAACAGATACTTTGTGCCAGGGCTCATACTTGGAAGTTCCCTGTATTAGTAGCTTCCCTGGCACAACACTCCTGTGAGATGAGTTTTAATCTTCATTGAAGAGATGAAAAATCAGAAATTCTGTAAAGCTATATTTCCTGCTGAGTTAGTGAGACTTCAGACCTGTAGCTCACTAAAATTCTAAGCCTAAAGCTCACATTCTTTCCAGAATATTTGTTGACTCTTGAGGAAGAGTGGTCATTATAAACCCCTGTTCTCGCCATTTCCCCAGTCTCCCCCGCACTTACTCTAGGTTAGCAGATATTTTGTAAAATGAAGTTTGGGCAAGAGCAGGCTAGTTCGGGTAAGGTACGTGCCTTTCATCTGAGTATAACCTCCCCTCTGCCTCTGACCTAAAGAGCAAGTGAAGAGGAGTGG